GCCGCCGTGTCCCCGAGCCGCTGAGCCACCGAGTCGTTGCGCCGCTGAGCCCCTGTGCCGCTGTCACACTGTGCGATGGCGGACGCCGTTCTTCGCTTGGACGCTGAGGGGCACGCAATCGACTTCGCTGCCTGGCTCGTCGACCTCCGCCGGCACCTGACAGGTCAGCGCCAGGATGGGCACTCCTTGGCTATGCATGTTGATGGTTTGCTTCCCCGCCCCCTTGCACCTAATCCCCTCCCTGCTGACCCTACCACTGCTCAGAGCGAGACTTTTGCTGCTGCTGCGCTTGCTCGAGCTGTCAGGGATTCTCGCGACGCAATAGTCCAGCTTGCCATTAGCCATGCCCTCCCTCTGTTTGAGCGTCCACGCTTTACCGCTGTCGCTAACGCCAAGGACTTTCTCGCTGCAGTAGTTGAGCGTTACTCCACACCTGCTTTCGCCTCTGCTGGCCGCTTGATCCTACCCATGCTCTTCTCTGATCTTTCTGCTTTCCCCACGGTAGCTGTCCTCGCTACTCACCTCCGTGCACTAGAGACCAGCTACCACGCTGCTAGCTCTGCCGCTTAGCTTACTGCCTTCCCCCCACCTTTCTGCACTACCCTGTACCTCATCGCCATACGCCTGCCTGACCGCTTAGCCACTTCCTTAGTCAGCATCCTGCCGACCTCACCCTGACCGCCTTTGTCACTACTCTGTCTGAGATAGAGACTCGCCAGCGCACTTTTGCTCAGTCGAGCGGTGTTAAGGCAGTCCCTATCTTTCAAGGCTGTGCCCCCTCCCAGTGCACGTACGCTGACGTCTCCGCCACAGTTGCCATGTTTGCGCCTGCACCTAAGACAGCAGATGCGGCGTACCCGCAGTAGTGCCAGCGCCGGGGCCGCCGTGGCCCCAAGGGAGGACGTGGAGGTGGCGCTAATGGTGGTGGTGACGGGGACAGTGGTTCTGACGAGGGGGTTGGTGCTGGTGCCCAGGAGCAGCAGCGGTCGCCATAGTCGCAGCCGCCGCAGCAGCCGCAGTCGCAGTCGCAGCCGCTGCAGCAACAGCCGCAGTCGCAGCCGTAGCAGCAGCAGCCACAGTCGCAGCCACTGCAGCAGCAGCAGCAGCAGCAGCAGCAGCAGCAGCCGCAGCAGCAGCAGCAGCAGCAGCCGTGGGCTTGTCTCTCGCTCAGATGGCCAGGAGCTTCTAGCGGCGGTGGTCGTGGTGGTGGCCCTCGCAGCTCGGCGTCCACCGGTAGCTTCGGTGCTGTGAGCTGCCAGTACCAGCTTCAGACCGGGCCCCTGCGTGGCACGGTGTGCTGCCGCTCGCACCCCACCGCCCGCTGCTTCCGCCACCTCGACGACCTCTTCCGTTGCCGCTTTGATCCCGCCCCGCACCTCCCTGACTGGCCCAGCCTGCTGCGCCACGGTGTGCCTGTGTTTGACTTAGACATGGATCAGATTAGTTTTGCCTTGCATTCTCTGTATGCTGACGCTTTGAGTGTTTTCGGATCGTATTACTCAGTGTTCTCTAGCTTAGGCGTAGCACCTGTGTATAGTCCAGACTCCCCTGCTAAGTCAGGCGTAGGATAGCTTGCGTTGTCTAGCCTAGGCTCTAACCTTGCTCCTCTGTCGTCAACCACTACGGCGTCGCTGTCCTTCACTCTAGACTCAGATGCGTCAGCCTGTTTCTTCCGCGACCACGATGCCCTCACGCCGCTTGCTGCACCTGCCGCTATCGCCCTTGCGGACCCCTCTTCTGGTCTTGTAGTTGCTCGCAGATACACTACCCTTTCCTGTTTGGCGCTTCCCTCGAGTTCTCTTACAGGCCTGCACATCCCTTCGTTCTCCAGGAACTTAGTTGGTGTCGGCTGTCTTCAGGACCTCGGCGTCACCACTACGTTCCCTAGTCACGAGTGTTACGCGGTCTGTTCCGAGGCCGCCTCAGGTGCCCCCCTTGCGACGCTCCCCGGGGACCCTGTGTCTGGCCTATTTATACTGCACACTGCTCCCCCCCCGGCGGGCGAGTCCTCCTCCGGTTGTGCGTCCACCCAGGTAGCTGCGGCCTGCTCGTGTCGGTCGCTCACTCATCCGTCGCTGTTGTGGCACCACCGCCTAGGTCACCCCGCGCTCCCCCGCCTGCGTCACATGTCTTAGCACGGTCTAGTCCTCGGCCTCCTTGTGTCGCTCCCTGCTCTTCCTCCCTCGCCTGCGCCGCCGTGCACGCCCTGCGTCGAGGGCCGGCTGCGCCGTGGTCCTCACTCCTCCTCACTTCCCCTTGCCACTGCACCCCTTTAGACCCTGCACTTGGACGTCTGGGGCCCAGCCTTTGTCCCTCGACCGCGTCGCGAGCGCTACTTTCTGGTGCTCGTTGACGACTTCACGCGCTACACCACGGTGTTTCACTTCAAGCGGAAGGCCGACGTGCCTGACGTTCTTAGCCCGTGGCTCGTCGCTGCGCGCCTCCACCGCGGTCTCCATGTGCTGTGTCTCCACTCCGACCATGCCGGCGAGTTTGCCTCTGGTCGGCTGGGTTAGTTCTGTCGTGCGGAGGGTATCACCCAGTCGTACATCCTACCGGACTCCCCGCAGCAGAATGGGGTCGCTGAGCGATGCATCGGTTTGGTCATGGAGGTGGCTCGTACCTCCATGATCCATGCCGGTGCACCCCATGCTAGTCCCTGAGGGTGACCCCGATGCCTTTCACATCCCGACCCTTCGCACCTTCATTGAGGCGACCTCGGGACCCTAGGCCTCTCAATGGATAGCTGCCATGGAGCAGGAGATGGCATCTTGGAGGGCTACTGGCACCTACGTCGACGCAGTTCCCCCACCTGGGGTGAACGTAGTCGATGGCCGGTGGCTCTTCAAGGTGAAGCGCCCTCCTGGAGAGCCACCTATGTTCAAGACGCACCACGTGGCTAGAGGCTTAAGTCAGCGAGAGGGGGTGGACTTCTTTCAGACCCTCCCCCCGACCCCGAAGATGACTACTCTTCAGGCGCTGCTACACGTAGCAGCACAGCGTGACTACGGGCTTCACTCCCTCGACTTCTCCACTGCTTTCCTTCAGGGCAGCCTACACGAGCAGGTCTACCTGCGCCGCCCTCAAGGCTTCACTGGTACCTTCCCTCCTGGGACCCAGTGGCTCCTCCGGCGCCCCGTCTACGGCTTGCGACAGGCGCCCCGTGAGTGGCACGACACGCTTCGTGCCACACTAGCTGACATGCAGTTCTTTCCGTCCTCTGCTGACCCTTCGCTTTTCGTTCGTGCTGGCCAGACTCCATTCTACATCCTGGTCTACGTAGACGACCTAGTCTTCGCTACAGCAGACAGAGACGCGCTGGCCTTCGTGAATGCTGAGCTACTGAGGGGACACACCTGCACTGACCTAGGAGAGCTGCGCCGCTACCTTGGCTTGCAGATCTCAAGGGACAAAGCAGCGCGCACCATCACTCTTTCACAGTCACACTTGGTGCGCCAGGTCCTTCAGAGGTTCGGTCTTCAGTTCTCCTCCGCACAGCCCACTCTTCTGCCAGTAGACCACAGGCTCTCAGCTCCAGTTCCCGAGGTGTCAGCAAAGCCCAGTGGTCCTTACGCAAAGCTGTGGGTTGCCTCATCTACCTGATGACTTGCACTCGCCCAGATCTCGCATACCCTCCCAGCATTCAAGCCCACTTTGTGGCCACAGGCAGACACCGACCACAGCACTGGTCGGCCGCTAAGTGGGTTTTGCGTTATCTTGCAAATACATCGGGCATGGGGCTAGTGCGGGGAGGCCGCGGGCCAGTGGTCCTTACTAGGCACACAGACGCTTCTTGGGCAGACGACGCTGAGACCCTCCGATCCTCCCAGGGCTACTGCTTCAGCTTTGGTTTAGGTGCCACCTCGTGGAGGTCCACTCGCTCTTCGTCTGTTGCTCAGTCTAGCTGCGAGGCTGAGATCTACGCCGGTGCCATGGCGGCACAGGAGCTCCGCTGGCTGACCTTCTACTTGCCGACTTAGGTGAGCGGCCTAGCTCTGCCCCGGTTCTGTACGCTGACAACAGGGCCATGATCCTCCTGTATCAAGAGCCTCGACTTGAGGGCAGAGCGAAGCACATCAAGCTGCGGTACTTCCTCCTTCGCGAGCTTCAGCAGCGTCGCCAGGCCCGCGTAGTACACTTGGCCTCCGGTCCCAACACAGCTGATATCTTTACTAAGGCGCTTCCGCCTAGAGATCATCAACGGCACTGCTTGCAGTTAGGTCTAGTCCCTGTTGACTCTCACTTGCTAGGCCCTTGATTGTGTACTCCTTTCTATTTATGCCTTCTAGACTGGCCTTGTGGCTTTCCTCCAGTGGTTGGAGTAGTAGTGCTGCCCTGGTTGGGAAGGAGGAATGTGCCTGGGTTGTGTGAGGTATAAGTGTGTTGTGACTGGTTACAGAGGACTTAGCCGAAATTTTCCAGGTTACGGCGGGTATGAGGCGGGTTGTGACCAGTTGCGAAGGACTTAGTCAAAATTATCCAGGGTACGTGGGGTATGGGAGGGGTGTGACTGGCAGTCGAAGGACTTAGCCGAATACCGAGAGAACAGGGAAAAATCTAGGAGCATCCCCCCCATTGAAAACTCTTCAGGGTGGTACATAGGCCAAGTCTGATAAATCAGAGAAAACGTATACTTTCAAAATTTTACCCAGGACCATCAGAGTGGTTTTCAAAAACGACTCTGATTTTCAGAGAATCAGAGTGATTTACTCTGATAAAATAAGCCCTGTCTGGTTTGCTCTGTCTTGCTTGTACTCTTGCTGACTGGTCTTCGGGCCTCTGCCTCAGAGGTTGGACTAGTAGTGCCACCCTGAGCTGCATGTTTCTTGCTCAGTACTACCCCTTATCTAGCCTAGCTTACATATATTGTTATGTAAAAATTATAGGCTAGATAGGGTATGTTCTTAGTGGGTACAACCCAAACACTAGATCTCCACTGTTCTCCCTTCTTCTAATCATTCTTTCGCTAAATTCTGCAAAAGTACAAGAAGTCTGAAATGTGAAAAATGGATGCTCCAAAATGATTACAGAATGCCAGAATAGGGCGACCTTGAAGAGCGTCTAACATTAAGCATGTTAGCTGTATTTAGAACGACGAAAATATTCATTGATTCCTCACACCAGGCATGATTTCCTGCCTCTACCACAAGTGGCACCACCTCATGGGTACCACCTTTTGTATGCTTTTCCCCAGCTGAGCACATCACCACCACTTCTTCTCCATCTTCTTCTTGAGCTGCGTTGCCAGGTCACTGAACTCCGCTGTGTCCGCCTCAAGCTCATCCGCCATGTCGTTCAGTTTCTGCCAAGTTAATAGAGGATGAGTGTTGAAAGAAGAGATGAGATGAGGGGAGATGGGAGAAGAGTCCAAGAGAGCGCAGGGAAAGTAGAGTGGTGCAGAGAGAGAAAACAAGAAGGGAGGGAGGGAGCTGGGAGTGAAGGCGCAGTGTCATAAGAGTGGGCGTAGGGAAGTAGAGAGCTTAGGACATGAGATGCTCAGGATGGATGACTTACACTGATCTTCTCTCCTCGTTCTGCCAGCTTTTTCCGTGCATCGGCTGCTGCAGATGCTGCTGAACCAGTTGGCTGCACGGCGCAGGCATAAGGAAAGGAAAGGGCAAAGGAAGAACAAGAGACAAGTTACGGGCATGCTAGACTGATTTTATCTCCCTCTGCCAGCATGTTCCTTGCGTCAGCTGCTGCAGATGCTGCAGAACCAGTCGGCTGGATGAGACACAAGGGAAAGACGGAGTCGTAAAACGAGGCACATTACACTCACGTAAAAAGATGCAATGGAGCAGTATTGATAAGGACATTGTACCGATGTCAAGATTGTGATAGAAATGTTGAACACCCACCAGCTTAGACTTATAGTTGTGCGCCGCCTTTATGTCCGCCACTGACCGCTGCTTTGGCACCACTGGCTCGGGCTCCTTGGCTGGAGAGGACAGGGGGGCGGGGGAGAGGGGTGCATGAGTGAGAAGCGGGAGAATGCAAGGGGTGTGAGAGGGGGCTCATTGCCTTTATGTCCGACACTGACCACTGCTTTGGCACCACTGGCTCGGGCTCCTTGGCTGGAGGGCATGGGAGGGAGGGGGATGCATGGGTGAGTAGTGGGAGAATGCGAGTGCTGTGGAAGGGGTGATGAGAGCTGCTGCCCCTATGTCGGCCACTGGCTCTGGCTCTGGCTCAGACCGCTGCTTTGGTGCCACTGTCTCAGGCTCCTCGGTTGCACGGAGGGGCATGTAACAGGAAGGGGCTGACTGACTGACACAGCTCAGGCCTTCACATAGTTACTCTAGGCCTCGACTCGACTTGCTAGAATACACCACAACTCCCCAGCAGAGCATACTTGGCTTCAGTGAAAGCACTGGAAAGAAACGAGCTTCGTTCAAAGATGCAGTGAGCGAATGTAATTCAGCAGATCACGAGAATGAAGGAGAGCGCTGCCACTGACCGCTAGAACCAGCCCGCTGGCTGCTAAGCACTCCCAGCGCTGCTCGTGAGAACCAGCCGAAGAGACCGCTGGTTGACGAAAAGGAGTCTGCTGCTAGCATGGAATGTTGGATGGAGCAGTACACACTTGCGCTAGTTACAGGGGATGGCACACTTACCGCTGGAAGATCCACTGCCCGTGCTGCCAGCGCTGCTGCCTGAGAACCAGCCAAAAAGGCTGTTGCTCTTGGAAAAGGAGTCTGGCGACGGGATGGGGGGAGGACGAAAGGTAGGGAGAGAGAGCCAATTAGAAAGTCTAAGCAAGCAGCAAACTCCATCCATGGTATGGAAGAACAGAAGGACGAACAGAAGGACGAACAGAAGGACGAACAGAAGGACGAACAGAAGGGCGAACAGAAGGACGAACAGAAGGACGAACAGAAGGACGAACAGAAGGACGAACAGAAGGACGAACAGAAGGACGAACAGAAGGACGAACAGAAGGACGAACAGAAGGACGAACAGAAGGACGAACAGAAGGACGAACAGAAGGACGAACAGAAGGACGAACAGAAGGACGAACAGAAGGACGAACAGAAGGAAGAACAGAAGGAAGAACAGAAGGAAGAACAGAAGGAAGAACAGAAGGAAGAACAGAAGGAAGAAGAGAAGGAAGAAGAGAAGGAAGAAGAGAAGGAAGAAGAGAAGGAAGAAGAGAAGGAAGAAGAGAAGGAAGAAGAGAAGGAAGAAGAGAAGGAAGAAGAGAAGGAAGAAGAGAAGGAAGAAGAGAAGGAAGAAGAGAAGGAAGAAGAGAAGGAAGAAGAGAAGGAAGAAGAGAAGGAAGAAGAGAAGGAAGAAGAGAAGGAAGAAGAGAAGGAAGAAGAGAAGGAAGAACAGAAGGAAGAACAGAAGGAAGAACAGAAGGAAGAACAGAAGGAAGAACAGAAGGAAGAACAGAAGGAAGAACAGAAGGAAGAACAGAAGGAAGAACAGAAGGAAGAACAGAAGGAAGAAAAGAAGGAAGAACAGAAGGAAGAACAGAAGGACGAAGCGGAAGTCCCGCTCGGTCTGGCTGATGCGAGGCGGGAGTACTGCGAGGTTCTGAGAGGTACCGCGAGGCTGATTACTCTGTCACTCTGACAGATGCAGGTAAGGGTCCCTGACAGGGCCTACGCTAAGGTTTTGAGAGGGTCTGTTTCTCCCGAGTTTCTCCCCCCCCCCCCCCACTCTTTTTCATTGGGGGCTTGGCGAATTCTGTTTAATCCGGAATCAAAGCTTGAGTTACTTTGACAGAGTTTCTCCCCTGTGCGCTGTGATTTCGCACCACTGACATGCAAAGGCAGCTCATCTCGTCAGCCTTTGAGAGACTGTCTCGGTTGTAAGGGGTGAAGTAAGGTGACAGTGCAAGGGAGAGGAGTGGGAGACGAGGGGGGAGGGCTGTGGTGGGGGTTGGGGGGGGGGGGGGGGGGGTTTGGGGGGGTGGGGGGGAAATTTCTCCAGGTCGGACCACAGGGGCATTCTGATTCTTCCGGAACCCGGCCCAAGCACACTTGTATATTTTCTGCACGTGACTCGTAAAAAATCCGGATTGGCCCCTGGAGAAACTCTGAGAAATGATCAAATCCGGGTAATTACCCTAGAATTCTTGGGCCTGGTTCCTGACCACCAACATATACCAGCTCCTCTGCTTCTGGTGACTCGCTTCTTGAGGCGCCAAAGATCCACATGCGCATGCACCTGCCCCTCTGCCTCTCCTCTCACCTGCGCCCATACTGGCCTGAGGCTCTGAAACGACTGCGGTCCTCGTCTGCCCTCCTCACCAGCCACCCCCGCCCACAGCTCCTCTGCCTCTCCCCTCACCTGCGGCTGTACTGGCCTGAGGCTCTGATTTCTGAAACGACTGCAGTCCTCGTCTGCCCTCTTGACCACTCCCGCACACAGCTCCACTGCCTCCGCCTCTGCCCCTCCTCTCACCTGCGCTCGTAATGACCTGAGCTCTGAGCCCCCTGCATCTGCCTCTCTCCTCTCACCTGAGCTTGTGCTGCCTGGATTCTCTTGTAGCATTCTCTTTGAGACTGCTGGGACGACAGACTCACCTGAGGTGGTGATGACGGGGTTGCGTCGAGCTTTTTGGCCATGCCGTTCAAGAGGTCCTTCAGCACGCCCTCCAACTCGTGAAACCCCACAGACCCACTGTGGCCTGCATCTGCCTTCCTACCTTGTTATTGCCGTCTCCATGAGATTGTTGGGACGACGGACTCACCTGAGGTGGTGATGACGGGGTTGCGATCGAGCTTCTTGGCCATACCATTCAGCAGGTCCTTGAGCGCGCCCTCGAACTCGTGGAACTTAACAAAAGCGACAAAGATCCTCTGCGTCTCCTCTCACCTGAGGTGGTGATGACGGGGTTCCTTTCCAGCTTCTTGGCCATCCTGTTGAGGCCGCCCTCGAACTCGTTGTACTCCACAAACCCGCTGTGGTCCTCGTCCGCCCGCTCCGAGGAAGAACTCAGACCTCACCTGAGGTGGTGATAACTGGGTTGCGGTCCAACTTCTTGGCCATGCCATTGAGCAGGCCCTTGAGAGCACGCCCTCGAACTCGTCGAACTCCACAAACCCGCTGTGGTCCTCGTCGGCCTTCTTGAGCACCCTCGCACACAGCTCCTCTGCTTCTGCTGGCGTCATCAGCGACGCCACCTCCCTTAGAGCACAACCACACACACTCACACAACCAGCAAACCAGCCAACCACCCAGTCAGCCAGCCGTTGCCTCCTCTCACCTGAGGTCGTAATGACTGGGTTCCTGTCCAGCTTCTTGGCCATGCCATTCAAGAGGTCCTTGAGCACGCCCTCGAACTCGTCATACTCCACGAACCCGCTGTGGTCTGCGTCGGCCTGCTTGAACACCCGCGCGCACAGCTCCTCTGCTTCTGCTGGCGTCATCAGCGCCACCTCGAACGTGGACGCGTACTTCTTGAATCCGAGAATGATTTCCGTGCGGGAGAGGCGTCCCCGTTTTAGGATGTCCCACTCCATGAAGAGCTGCGAGGAGACGGCGTTGAAACGGCTGCGATCGCCTGTGAGCTGCATGGAAAAAAGAAGAGGAAGGAAGGGGAAAAGGGGATTGTCTTTGCTGAAGGATTACCATGTGTCCCGCTCCATAGAGAGCCGGGAGGAGACCCGTTGAAACGGTTGCGATCGCCGGTAAGCTGAGAGGAAAAAACGGCAGGGGAGAATGTTGGGAGGAGGGGGGGATGGGAATCGACACTGTCAAACACGGCTTTTGGGCACACCCCCGCACACAGCTCCTCTGCTTCTGCTGGCGTCATCAGTGCCACCTCAAACGTGGACGCATACTTCTTAAAGCCCGGGGTGGTCTTGGTGCGGGAGAGGCGACCTCGTTTTAGGATGTCCCACTCCATAAAGAATCGGGAGGAGACTGCGTTGAAGCGGTTACGGTCGCCTGTGAGCTGCAGGGAAGAATGACAGGGGTGGGGTGGGGAGGAGGAGGAGGGGAGGGGGAGGGGGAGGGGGGCAGAGTGAGGGAGGGTGAGGGATTGTGAAGTTCGTTTCTTGAACAAAGTAGATCACACATACAGCTCCTCTGCTTCTGCTGGCGTCATCAGCTGCACCTCGAACGTGGACGCGTACTTCTCACTGGCCTCCTTCACCATGTCCCTCAGCATGAGGGTGAACTTGTGGCGCTCTGATTGGCCCATGCCCTAGCAGCCGTCACTCACCAGCCGTCACTCACCTGGCGCACGAAGGAGCCAGTGAAGACCAGCTTGTTTTCTGCCGAAAGAATGATGGGCCCCTGGGCCAGCTCCACAGAGAGCTCCTTCACCATGCCCCTCAGCACGAGCTCTAACTTGTTCCGCCCTGACTACCACCAGTGGCGATAGCTAGACCCCCCACTCACTTGGCGGACAAACGACCCCGTGAAGGCGGGCTTCTTCTCAGCAGACAGGATGATGGGTCGCTGGGCCAGCTCCTCTGAGAGCTCCTTGATCATGTCCCTCAGCATGAGCTCGAACTCCCCCTGGTCCACCAGCAGGTCGCTGCCGCCATACTTGCCTATGACCCGCGACATGAGGGCGTCCACCTCCGTGTGGGCTGGGGGGAGGGGACGAGGAGCAGACAGGGAGGGGCAGGGGGGGGGGAGCGAGGACGGGAGAGAAACAATCAGACTCCTCCTGGTCCACCAGCAGAGCAGGTCGCTGCCACCGTACTTGCCTATCACTCGCGACATGAGGGCGTCCACTTCAGTGTGGGCTGGGTACCAAGGAGAGTGCAGGGGGGACGAGTGGGAAGAGTGGGTAACTGAACTCCCCTCTCTCCCACCTGCAGGTCGCTGCCGCGGTACTTGCCTATCACTCTCCACATCAGGGCGTCCACCTCCGGGTGGGCTGCACGGGGAGAGAAACGGAAGGAGAGAAGGGAGAATCAGATTTCCCTCTCGCCCACCTGCAGGTCGCTGCCGCCGTACTTGCCTGTCACCCGCGATAAGAGTGCGCCCACCCCCCCGTGTGGGCTGTGAGAGCAGTGGGGGCAGGGGAGTGGCTGCGAAGGGGAGAGTGGGAATGGACAACAAGTCCCCCCCCCGGTCCACCTGCAGGTCGCTGACGCCGTACTTGCCGAACACCCGTGATAGCAGGGCGTCTACTCCGGTGTGCGCTGGGGAGAGCGGACAAGAGCTGGAGAGAGAGAGAGCAAGACAGATCAAGCGGACAATCCGACCCCCCTTCTTGTGACTTTTGAGTCGACTCATAAGTCACCTCGCTGGGGAGACAGGACAAGAGCGGGAGAGAAAGAGCAAGACAGAAAGAGTGGACAACCCAACCCCCCTTCTCGTCCATCTGCAGGCCACTGCCGCCGTGATTGCCTTTTCACTCATGGCAGCAGCGCTGGGCTTCTACTCATGGCAACACTGGAGTTTTGCGGTGCTGGGAATCACGCTTGATAGCTCAGAACAGGCTACTAGATCGTCGGACATCTTCCAGTGAGCGCGGTGACAGAAGTCAGTTTAGACAAGTAGGAAAAAACAGGAGACAAACTCTCAACAGCGATTAAAACAGGAGACAAACTCTCAACAGCGATTAAAATAGGAGACACGCTGGGAATCACGCTTGATAGCTCAGAACAGGCTGCTAAAACAGGAAATAAAAAGACAGCAGCAACAACCAAAAAAAAAAGCCCTCCCTCCGTGTCTCACCTGACGGCGGCACGAGCCCGAGCGACACAAACGCAGGCTTGAGCTCAAGGCGCGAGAGCGTGCCACTGCCATCCTCGTCGAACTCCTTGAAGATGTCGCCCACTATCTCCTTGAACTGCTCGGGGTTGTCCGCTAACTCCCTCAACACCCCACCGTCATACATCTCCACCACCACAGGCTTGGCTGCGGGGGGAAGAGAGGGGGTGGGGTTTGGGAAAACGGGAAGGGGTGAATGGAAGCCTCGTCAAACTCCTTGCAGATGTCGCCCACCATCTCCTTGACCTGCTCGGGGTTGCCCGCCAGTAACACCCCACCGTTATACACCTCCACCACAACAGGCTTGCCTGCAGAGGGGGAAAGGAAGATGGATGGGGGGGGGGAGGGAATAGGGAGAGGGTCAGTGGGGTGAGGCCCCTTGGATCTCCTTGAAGATGTCGCCCACCATCTGCTTGACCTGCTTGGGTTTGTCCGCCAGCTCTCACAGTACGCCCCCGTCGCACACCTCCACCACCACTGGCTTGGCTGCAGGCGGGGGAAAATGAGAAGGGGGAAGATAGGTTGGGAGGGGAAAAGGCGGGAAACAGGGGGGAAGAGAGGGCCTCGTCAAACCCCTTGAAGTTGTCGCCCACCATCTGCTTGAGCTGCTCGGGGTTGTCCGCCAGCTCCCTCAACACTCCCCTGTCTGTCATACATCTCCACTCCACCACGGGCTTGGCTGATGGGGAAGAAGAGGAGGGGAAGGGGGAAAATGGGGGAAATGGGGGAAATGGTGGAAATGGGGGGGAATGGGGGAAATGGCGGAAATGGGGGGAATGGGGGAAATGGGGGGAATGGGGGAATTGGCGGAACTGGGGGGACTGGGGGAAATGGGGGAAATGGGGGGAATGGGGGGAATGGGGGAAATGGGGGAAATGGGGGGAATGGGGGAAATGGGGGAAATGGGGGAAATGGGGGAAACGGGGGAAATGGGGGAAATGGGGGAAATGGGGGAAATGGGGGAAATGGGGGAAATGGGGGAAATGGGGGAAATGGGGGAAATGGGGAAATGGGGGAAATGGGGGAAATGGGGGGAATGGGGGAATGGGGGGAATGGGGGAAATGGGGGGAATGGGGGAATGGGGAAATGGGGGAAATGGGGGAAATGGGGGGAATGGGGAAATGGGGGAAATGGGGGAAATGGGGGAATGGGGGGAATGGGGGAAATGGGGGAATGGGGGGAATGGGGGAATGGGGGGAATGGGGGGAATGGGGGAAATGGGGGAAATGGGGAAATGGGGGAAATGGGGAAATGGGGGAAATGGGGGAAATGGGGGAAATGGGGGGAATGGGGAAATGGGGGAAATGGGGGAAATGGGGGAAATGGGGGGAATGGGGGGAATGGGGGAATTGGCGGAAATGGGGGGAATGGGGGAAATGGGGGAAATGGGGGAAATGGGAGAAATGGGGGAAATGGGGGAAATGGGGGGAATGGGGAAATGGGGGAATGGGGGAAATGGGGGAAATGGGGGAAATGGGGGGGGAAATGGGGGGAATGGGGGAAATGGGGGGAATGGGAGAAATGGGGGGAATGGGAGGAATGGGGGGGAGGAGAAGTACTCGTCGATCTTCTTGAGGATGTCGCCCACCATCTCCTTGCACTGCTCGGGGTTGTCCACCGACGTTCTGACTAACAGTCGAGTTCCTCGGACACGGATCGGTGGAAATTGATTAACGCGACTCGAACAACGCAAGGTGAAGCGCAAGGTGAAGCGCAAGGTGAAGCGTTAAACGAGTGTGCTGACATTCGATCGCCTCAGACACACAGATTTCAGCAGCGACGCTCTGGAGATGGTGACGTACTACTAGTTCGCTCGGTCCACCATCCCGCGAATTCAGTTCTGAGGCGCCTCAAATTTATGGCTCCTCAGACACACGGGTTTCAGCGACGACGCTTTGGTGATGGACGGCGCTCTGGTGATGGACTCCACCTCATGGTTTTGAGGCGACGGCGCTTATCACCAAAGCGTCGTCACCTCTTTCCGCGAAGTATCCACTGTCAACGTCGCGAACGATCGGTGTACTAACGAGTCTTTTTCACCCTGGCGTCCTTGTCCGCACCACCATGTCCTATGCTCATGGTGGCTGCAAAATCTACAATCTAAACTCTGTACCGGAGAGTGACAATTCCGAAAGGTTTTCTCAGACAGTGGCGGGCCGTGCTTACATTCGAGCTCCTCGGAAACGGATTTGCGGGAACTCCTTTGAAATGGTGATGAACGACGCGACTCGAAAGACTCTTGTCCTTTCCTTCCGGCGTGCTTACATTCGAGCGTGCTTACATTCGAGCTCCTCGGAAACCGATCCCAGGAACTCCTTGGAGATGTTGATGAACGACGCGCGGTCCACCTCCTCCCCCAGGTCGTCCGCCATCAGCGTCGTGAACAGCCGGTCCACCAGCGCGTCGCCCTCCGCCGTCGTTCCCGCCGGCGGGAGTCCCAGGAGCACCCCGAATCGCACTAATGCGGGCTTAAGCTCCGCGCGGGAAAGCTTCCCGCTCTTGTCGTCATCCAGAAGGTCGAAGTATTGGTTCAGGAAGGAGTTCGCCTCCTTATCGTCTTTCAGCATTTTCTTAATCTTCTTCCCATCGAGGAAGCTTCCTTTCGAGAGCGACCGCTGTAGGAACGGCCTCTTAAACGCCTTCATGGCGAGAAGCGGTGAAAGGAAAAGAGAGCGAGCGAGCGCTTAGACGACGGACTACGGGGATGGCAATGCGGGGCTAAGACCTCCTGGAATCAGCAAGATGCTCTGACCAGCGGAACTAGGGAGGCTGAAGCTAATCAATTCAGCTGGCAGAAAGAAAATTGCTGAATGGAATGTTTGCTGAGGGGGGGCTGAGAAAAATGAGAGGGAAGAGAATGGAAAGGAGAAGGGGCGAAGATTACTGAACAATGTGAGAAGTGCTCCATTGCAATTATGCTGGGAGGATTCATGGGGGTTCTCTGCTGAGAGGAGTTGCGAGTTGGAATGCAATCTTTTCCCGTTGGCCGGACAAACGCGTTCAGCTTTGCCGCAAAATGATATTTTGGGGGGTCGAATTATGCCACTTAGACAGCGTGCCATAATACTTCTACACGTTTCTCGCGACGAAACGCTACCTCAAATACACTCTCAACCAGCTGGTGCTGTCCAATCAGCGTCGAGCTTGCTGGAGGTGGACTGGAGAAATTCACTTCGCCTGATTTCGCTGATTACTGGCAACTCGTTTCGTCAGCGTCGTCCAGTGTCTCTGGACTCCAGCCTAGAGCCTTGTTCGCTAGGAATTACTGTAGATGACCAGAGCAGTAGGGCGAGTTTGGCAGGATCAGATTCCCTGCCATGGATGTCGTCTGGGTGGCCTCTGGTGGCGCCACGCCTGTTTTTGTCCCTTTGTGGTGCCCCCTTACGCTCGGAGGGCCTAGAAGTTCCAGGGTTAAACCCTACCCAACAATTTTCAAGACCATCGAAATACCAAATAGAACGCGAAGCACCTAGTTTGACCGCATTGGAGTGAACTCGTGACCAGCCCTTCTGAACCCACACGCAGTCAGCAGAGAGCCATGTTGTACAGTAAAGTACGCGCACTGTACATCCGTTAGGGAAGGCCAGCAGCTGGAACTGGGAGGGGCGGGTGACCCACCGACCGAACGTGGTGCCCACTGCCCATCAAACAAAGAAATACGCGATACAATGTCGCTCCGCTTCACAGAGCTCTGGCACTGAACAATCATAGACCGGTAAGCGTTTATCCATCCTTCGGTAGCCTTTCAAATTGTCAGGAATTTACATCTTGTCCGCCAGTCAACCGACACAAGAACAGCCAAAGCACTGCTGGTTCGCTACTTTCGGCTGCTCGTCAAGCACTCCTGGCGATGGGCCCGATAGAATCTCCTTTCCAGCGTCACCCTCCCAGTCCAATGCGTTCGATCCCGCTGCACTCCAGTGCAGCCGTACGATCCCTCCAATCGCACCGCGCCTGCGGCGGCTCGTACGCCCAAGATCCAACGCTGCGGCGATCCGCAGCGAAGGTGGAAGTGCATTTCGACGGCAAAAAGCGGCCCACGTCGTTTCTGGGATGGAGGTTGCAGCGAGCGCGCGTTGGGAAGCAGCCGCAGTATTGTAGCCGTCGCCGGGGGGAAATACAGGCGGCGGAAACAGTAGCAAGGTTTGAGACGTCTCATTACTCGACGTCTCAGCACACGTCGTTGTTGGGATGGAGATTGCAGCGAGCGAATCTAGGAAAACACTGCTGCCGGCAGCCGCAGGATCGTAGTCGTCGCCGGGGGGAGATACAGGCGGCGGGAGCAGCCGCGGGAAGAGGGCGGTCAGGCGCGGGAAGGGGGGAAGGGGGGGGAGCGGGCGGAGGGGGAGCGGCGGATGGCGGGTTGGGATTGGCGCGGAGCGTGGCCGAGGAGCTGCCGGATGGGCGGAAGCACGAATTCGCTACAGTGCAGCACTGCGAGGACTTCTGGCTTATAGTGAGATACCTGGTAAGGGGACGGTTCGCCAAAAGTTCGCCAACAGTTCGCCAGCAGTTCGCCAACAGTGCGCCAACAGTTCGCTAGCAGTTAGTTGAGACGCCGAAGCGGAGCTGCTTGTTAGGAGGGCACGCTTGACGTGTGATGCATATTGAGTCGAGTTTTGAGGCGCCTCAGAAACAGCTTGAAGCGGAGCTGCTTGGTAGGAGGGCACGCTTGACGTGATCACACAAGCACCGATGATTTTTCCCTCAAACCTTCCTCTGCTCTGCTCTGCTCTGCTCCTCATATTTCCCGCAAATCGCCCTCTGCTCTGCTCCCCTCGCTGCCCCAGATGCCGCTGGCCTTCCACGCGCCTGCTCCAGGCGCAGGTGGCTTCTCAGGTGAAACCTCAGATGCCACACCAGATTGCGGCAACCTGAGTGGCGCGGAGTGGCAGCAGGCCGTGAAGCTGAGGCTGCAGCAGAAGCACCGACCAGCAGCAGACCGGGCAGATGGGGCAGGCGGGGCAGACGGGGCAGACGGGGCAGACGGGGCAGACGAGAGGGTCAGTAGTGCCAATGGGAATGGCAGAGGGGATGGCAACGATGGTAGAGCTGGGGGTGATGATGGAAAGAGGAGATACGATTTCGTGCGCTATCCACTGGTTCGTCTTATTCACCGCAGTCGGGATTGCTCGCCTGTCACGGAGCCGCTGCTGGGCGGCGTGAGCTTGGACGTAGTGACGGATATGGCCGGCAAGCTCACCCATGGCAGTGGCGTGACAGCAGTGGCCGCTCCGCAGCTGGGAGCCCTGCGTGACGTCATCCTCACCACTGAGGAACCTTCGGAGAAGCTTCCGGCATCTCCAGGCGCTGTGGGGAGGGTGGTGGGGGGAGCCATGGGGAAGCTGGTGGGGGGAAAGATGGGGGGCGGAGCTGGGGGCGGAGCTGGGGGAGGGTTGGGGGGAGGATTAGGGGGAACGTTGGGGGGAGGATTAGGGGGAACGTTGGGGGGAGCCCTGGGGGGTTTGATTGGGGGAAGGCGGGCTGTTCCTGCTGGTAAGTCGGTACGCAGCAGAAGGGGAGGGGGGAATGGGGTTGACATTAGCAGCAGCAACTTCGACAGTGCTGCCCCCACCACCGATCCCAGCTGCAGCAGCAGCAGCAGCAGCAGCAGTAGCAGAAGCAGCAGTAGCAGTCGGGGTAAGGAGCTGGGTGGCATTCTTCGTCCTACTGCCGGGCCAAAAGTGCATGTGTTGTGCAACGCGCGCGTTGTTCAGATGCCGAGGGAGCGGGTGGAGCAGCTCGAGACCTGCCCCTGCCTACCTGGCCTCCCTTTCATCGTTCAGGTGTGGCTGTATTCCACTGACTTGAGAGCTGGTGTGTGAGAATTCTAAAAAACCAACTCAGGTATTGAAGGCCACCACAGGAGAATTCTATCCCTCGTTCAAGGAAACCAACTCCGGCGTTGGTGCCACCAACGCTGCCTGTGCTGTGGAGTGGAATACACGAGTAACCCAGATGCCAAGGGAAAGTGGAGCAACTCGAGACATGTACCTGCCTGCCTGTTTGCCTGAGATCACTTTTCACGTACACCTTAAAGGAAAGGGTGTGGAAAGGGTGAAGGTGAAGGAATGTGGAGGTGTCGCCAGGTGTGGAATGGGTGAAGGTGAAGGAATGTGGAGGTGTCGCCAGGTGTGGAAAGGGTGAAGGTGAAGGAATGTGGAGGTGTCGCCAGGTGTGGAAAGGGTGAAGGTGAAGGAATGTGGAGGTGTCGCCAGGTGTGGAATGGGTGAAGGTGAAGGAATGTGGAGGTGTCGCCAGGTGTGGAATGGGTGAAGGTGAAGGAATGTGGAGGTGTCGCCAGGTGTGGAATGGGTGAAGGTGAAGGAATGTGGAGGTGTCGCCAGGTGTGGAAAGGGTGAAGGTGAAGGAACGTGGAGGTGTCGCCAGGTGTGGAATGGGTGTGTTACCATGAGAGCACGTGCGTTGGTGTCAAGGGACCTTGGTGTCAAGGGACCTTCTTGGGACCTTTTCCTGTTACGTGTTACATCACGTGCATGCAGTGGATTACTGTGTACCTACATTACTAGAAACCGCGTTAACAAGAATGCGTAACACTCATAGACGATACCGCTATAGTGCACTGCACTCAAGCGCGCGCTATAAGGTATCCTTTTTTCCTCTGCTAATCTTTTATCAAACCCCCATCCTCCCATTCTCATATGCTTTCTCCCCATGCCACCATTGCCAGAGGCCTCCCTGGGTGCGTGTTATGGCTCATGACGAGCACTATCAGCAGCACATGTACCTGGTATGTAACATGGTTACATGGGCAGCAGCACGTGTACCTGGTAGGTAACATGGTTACATGGGCAGTAGCACGTGTACCTGGTAGGTAACATGGTTACATGGGCAGTAGCACGTGTACCTGGTAGGTAACATGGTTACATGGGTAATAGCACGTCTACCTGGTAATAGGTAACATGGGAATGTAGGTAACATGGGAATGTAGGTAACAAATCTGGGCATTGTTCTATTACCTAGCAGCCGTGCATACAAAATAGAATGTGGGTAGGTTCCACCCTGTGTCAGGATACTTGACACAAGGTAGTTGCATCACAATGTGTACACATCAGCAAGACTGCTGACGTGGCGATATCCTGGCTGTTGAATAGCTGACATCCAGTGAGCTGACGAGGGATAGGAATTTGCCCTGCTGCCTCTCCACTTCTTGCCATCCACCACTCATTTTTGCAATCCAAGGGTGCAGCAGCCCGCGCTATCCTTCGAGCCATGGCCCACTGCCATGGCCCCAAGGTGCAAAAAAACTGATTTTTTGTTTTTAAAAATTTTACCGTATGGTACAGTACCGAATTTTCCGGCCGTATAATACGATTAAAAACGGCCAGAAGTGCCATTTTGAGGGTGGTGCAAAAAACGGCCGTTTTTCGGCCCTTTTCTTTTACCAGCTGGAATATATGGCCGAAAATCGCGTTTTGATCGTCGAAATGCGGGGATCCGGCATTTCACCAGCCGAAATGCGCGGATCTCGCATTTCGCTTGCCAAATTGTGCGGATCTCAAGTTTCGGCGGGAGAAATGCCAAGAAATGCCACAGCGAAGGACGTGCCTCGCTGCACCACCGGGCTGTGCGGTACTGTACTGTCTGTGCCATACTGGTGGCGACCACTGGCAGTGGTGATGTTGTAAGGTAGTCAGTCACTGTGTCTCTAACTGGCAGTTTAGTTGGGTGTATTAGGTTAGAGGGCTAGGTAAGAGGGCATTGACGAAGAGCGTCTCAACTACAGATGATGTCCACTCAACGACCATGCAAATGCCCAGCCCGATTCGGTCCCATTCCGTCCCCCCCTGCCGGATATTTTCCGTCCAGATTCATCCAGCGTGACTCGCAAACAGGGTGTTCCAACCTCGGGCACCCTCTGTAGTCTAGAATGCTGCTTGCAGCTTGGTGCTGCTTGCTTACTGTAGGTGATTGCGTCTGGTGCATGGCAAGGGGAGGATGTACTGTAGGTGTAGGTAGGTGTACACACGATAGTGCAGCATATGGGAGAGGGGAAAGGATCCAGTTTCGTAAGAAGGGGTGAAGACCAGGGCCGACGCTAAGGTTCTTCAATACTCTGTTTCTCCCAGAAACCCCCCGTCCCAGCACTCTGTTTCGTCCGGTTTTGGGGGATTTTGAATTCTTTTCCATCCTGATTCGGGTCTACCACACGCTTTCCACGTGCGAGTCTCGGTTGATCCGAAAATTAACGTTGCGTCCCGGGCAGCAGTTCCAAAACTCCCGAAAAACCCCCGAGCATTCTCTGCCGAAGTCCTCGTCTTGCTTAGCATAGATCGCCACCAATCCAGCACAGGTCCCCTCAGTAGTGAAACAGCCAGCTTGATTTTTAAACCATCACACGATCACACAGCTGCATCTGAACGTGCCTCCTCGCTCTGCCCTGCCCACGAACTCACTTCTTACATCTTCCCTCACTGCCCCTCCCCCCTCTCTCTCGCAGTTCAAGGGCACAGCAGCCCGCTCTATCCTCCGAGCCCTGGACCATTGCCATGGGCGGCTGCTGGGCTGGTGCATGGTTCTCCCTCTGCTCTCTTCGATAACCCACTCCTTGCTTTTCCCTGCCCTGTGCCTTCTTCCAGTTCAAGGGTGCAGCCGCCCGCTCTATCCCCCGAGCCCTGGGCCATTGCCACAGTAGGCTGCTGGACGCCGCAGCAAACTCCTGCTTCCCGCCGTGCACCCCTCCACCCCCCCCACCCCCCCCACCCCCTCCACACCCTCAATCTCTCGCAGTTCAAGGGTGCAGCAGCCCGCTCTATCCTGCGAGCCATGGATCATTGCCATGGGCGGCTGCTGCTGGACATGCCTGCTCCCCCTGCCCCACATAGTCAGAAGCAGCAGCAACAATGGAAGCCACAGAAGCAACAGCAGCAGCAGCTGCGGTGGCTTGAGTTTGTCGAGCCGACCACGTGCAGATTCGTTCCTCCCCGCATGGACAACGATCGTTGCTTTGCGGCGTACCATGAAGCGGGGCATGCTTTGGTGGGGGCTCTAAGTCCGCTTGCTAGGGTGAGTAGCATGCGAGTACGAGTGAGAGAGTGTTTAAACTGTGAGTGTATGTGCATGCACAGATCCATCCCTCCTCCCATGCGCAACGACTGCTGCTTTGCATCGTGCCATGAGGCTAGGCATGCACTCATGGGGGCGTTGAGTCCTCTAGCTCGAGTGAGGTGAGTAGCGTTGGAGCTCGCACTTGCTCAGGTGAGCGTGGGTCAAGAGGGCGAGTGCGCGAGTTCATGGGGGAGCGTAATATTCCTTCCCTTGTCATGCATGCCATCCAGTATGTCCCATCCCACCCCATCCCACCCATCCTGCCTATATCCCCATCAACCAATCAGGTGGAGGGGGTGTACCTGGAGGATGAGGGCCAATCAGCAGCGCTGGGAGGGCCCTACCGGCCAGTAAAGTATGCTGGGGGGACGGACATTGTTTGGCGGGGGGAGATCCAGCCAATGCCGCTGCGACAAGTGGTGGTGCATGCCATGGCGGTGTGGCTGGCTGGCATGGTAAGGCGATGCCTTAAGGTAATGTAATGGTTTATGGTGGTGTAATGGTTTATGGTAGTGTAATGGTTTATGGTAGTGTAATGGTTTATGGTAGTGTTGGTTTATGGTAGTGTAATGGTTTATGGTAGTGTAATGGTTTATGGTAGTGTAATGGTTTATGGTAGTGTAATGGTTTATGGTAGTGTAATGGTTTATGGTAGTGTAATGGTTTATGGTAGTGTAATGGTTTATGGTAGTGTAATGGTTTATGGTAGTGTTGGTTTATGGTAGTGTAATGGTTTATGGTAGTGTAATGGTTTATGGTAGTGTAATGGTTTATGGTAGTGTAATGGTTTATGGTAGTGAAATGGTTTATGGTAGTGTAATGGTTTATGGTAGTGTAATTGTTTATGGTAATGTAATGGTTTATGGTAGTGTAATGGTTTATGGTAGTGTTGGTTTATGGTAGTGTAATGGTTTATGGTAGTGTAATGGTTTATGGTAGTGTAATGGTTTATGGTAGTGTAATGGTTTATGGTAGTGTAATGGTTTATGGTAGTGTACCATGTCTTGCAAATTGCAATGACAGCTCAAAGTATCCTGTTGCGAGTGAGCAGTGGTGGTGCACGAAATGGCGGTGTGGCTGGCTGGCATCGTAAGGGCTGGATCACATCCCTTTTCCTTCTCTCCATTTTGAGAATGTCTCGTCTCCGCCTCGCCTCATCTCTCTTGCATCGTGCCTCTCCTGCCTCGCCTCTCTTGGGTTGGGTGAAGTGACTCGGTCGCGGCAAGTGGTGGTGCACGCCATGGCAGTGTGGCCTGGCCAGCTGGCCATGGTAATTCGTCGTATGGTGGTGGTGTGCATAGACATGCATATAGATATGTGCATGCACGTCCACATGCATGCATGTTTGCTGCTGTGGCAAGTGGTGGTGCACACCATGGCGGCTGGCCGGCCGGCATGGTAGTCTGCTGTATGGCGGTGGTATGCATACGCATGCACATGTGCATTCTCATGCATACGCATGCACATGTGCATTCTCATGCATACGCATGCACATGTACATTCTCATGCATATGACTAATGTTTGTTGTTGGGGCGCCTCAAAACTAGATTTTTCCACTTTCTTCTTCCCTTCCTTCACCTCCCTCCCCCTCCCCGCCAGGCAGCAGAGGAGCTGATGTTTGGCCGGGTCGACTACTTCACCCGATCCGACGGCTGGTATTCCTTCTCAGACGATCTTGCAAATGGTGGGTGATTTCTCTCAATCTCCTCACTTCTCCTTGTATATCTGTCTCTGCAAGCACTTTCGCCTTGTCCTACCTTCTCTTCCCCGTTTGTCTCCTGGCTCCCCAAGAACCTATTCTCCATGCATCTCTCTCCCTTGCTCCTTATCTCCCCTTCTTCCCCTCCTTCCCACCGATTTTGCTTCTGCTCTTGCCACAGCCTTTGCCCTCATCTCCCGTTTCTCGCTTTCCTATTCCCCACATTTCCTTCCTCCTCCCTTCCTGCTCCCCCGTCTACTGTTTCGGTCCCATCAGCCGCTGCTCTCGCCACAGCCTTTGCCCTCATCTGCCGAGCGCCCGAAGTGTGGGGAGCAGCAACCGCAGCACCAGAGGGGGAAGGAGAGACCCAAGGTAGCAGCAGCAGCAGCAGCAGCAGCAGCAGCAGCAGTACCAGCGCAAGGGAAGCAGAGTTCCAGCAGCTGCTGCTGAGCGCCCTCCACACGCCCCGCATCACAGGCTGGCGCGTGCCCTCCTCCGCTTCCTTCCACGACCTCTTCGGGGAGGGGCCGCAGGACCTGAGGGGCTGGCCTGGGGATAGGAGAGGAGAGGAAGATAGAGCAGCAGCAGCGGCAGAGGCAGGAGAAGGAGCAGCAGCAGCAGGAGGAGGAGCAGCAGGGGCAGCAGTAAGAAGGGTGGGGAGAGGCCTAGAGATGCCAGGAGTGGGCGCTCACGAGCAAAGAGTGCTGCAGCTGGTGCAGGAGGGGATGGCCTTGGCCTCTTCCACTCTCCGTCATCACGAGTCTGCACTCCATGCCATTGCATGGCAACTCATGGACTCTGGCGAGGTGGATGAGGGCGAGATCGCTGCTGCTGTCGCGTCTGCTGATTCTATTGCAAACACAGCAGCCGTGGCTGTGAATCCAGCTGCAACAGCTGCTGCAGGGTGATCCCCTCCCCGGGATACCATGTCCTGCTGCTGTTGCATCTGGTAGACGTCGCTGTGAAACCCTCTGCATCAGCGGCTGCAGAGTAAGAACTCTCCTCAGTGCGGCATCAGGTGCTGCAGCTGGTGCAGGAGGGAATGGCCCTGGCGTCGTCCACTCTCCGGCGTCACAAGTCCGCTTTGCATGCCATTGCATGGGACCTCATGGACGCTGGAGACGCGGATGAGGGCGACATCGCTGCTGCTGTCGCGTCTGCCGTGCCTGAATTTGCCGGTGCCCCTTCTACCATGGATCACAAGGGTGTGATCCTTGTGATCCTTCTCACAACTGCACCTGCATCAGCGGCTGCTGGGTGATCCTTCTCGGTGTGCCATCGGGTGCTGCAGCGTCTCGGGTTGCTTGCCAGTGCCGTGTCTAACGTGGAACACGAGGCTGTGACTGCACTTGCACCAGCGGCTGCAGGGTGTTCTTTTCCAGTGTGACAGCACGGCTCTCAGCTGGTGCAGGAGGGAATGACCCTTGTCTCTTCCACCCTTCAGCATCAGGAGTCTACCCTCCATGCCATTTCGTGGCAGCTGGTGAACTCTGGTGAGGAGGATGGGGCACGTATTGCTGCTGCATCATGTGCCTCAGGTTCAGGTTCAGTTTGTAGTTCGGCTGTTTCTAGGTACACACAAGCAACGGCAGCTGCGCCACCTACTCTTGATGCTGTGGGTTGCTGCTGCCCCTCAGGCAATGTTGCAGCTGTCGCCTCAGGGGTTGCAGGTGTTGCTGCTACTCCTCCTGTGGCTGATTACACAGAATCTATGGCTGTGGTGCTGGCTGCTGCAGTGTAGCGAGACGGTCAGTATGCGTGAATGGGTGAAGGTTGTCAAACATATATTGTATGTTTCTGTTGACAATCTAGGGTTGTGCCTTCGGGAGTACAACCCATTAGGGGCCCCGTCACCTTGCGGCCCCGCGGCCCCGTCCCCTAGCGGCCCCGCGGCCCCGTCCCCTAGCGGCCCCGCGGCCCCGTCCCCTAGCGGCCCCGAGTCCCCGTCCCCTGGCGGCTCCGTGGCCCCGTCACCTAGCGGCCCCGCGGCCCCGTCACCTAGCGGCCTCGCGGCCCTGTCCCCTAGCGGCCCCCCGGCCCCGTCACCTAACGGGCCCGTGGCCCTGTCACCTCGCGGCCTCGCGGCCCCGTCACCTAGCGGCCCCGCGGCCCCGTCCCCTAGCGGCCCCGCGGCCCCGTCACCTAGCGGCCTCGCAGCCTCGTCCCCCAGCAGCCCCGCAGCCCCGTCCCAGAGCGGCCCCGCGGCCCCGTCACCTAGCGGCCCCGCGGCCCCGTCCCCTAGCGGCCCCGCGGCCCCGTCACCTAGCGGCCTCGCGGCCGCAAGTGCCATGCAGGCCTGTCGTTATCAGGGTATTTTACCATGATTCCCTGATTTCACAGGGTATTTTTTTTGCCAACCCTTAATTTTCAAGGTTGGGCTTTTTTTAACCCTAACCTCTTCAAGGTGTCAAACATGTGTATTTGTCATGTTTGTTTAGACTGTATAGGGTAGCCTCTTAGAGGGTACAACACTTAGGTATATCTGTGTGTACCCGCTCTCTAACATTAAATTCACTTCTTCAATTCCTGATATGGTATCACGCGTAGGTAGGATCCCCCCCCCCACCTACCGCTTCCGTTCGCCCCCCCTAGCCCCGTCGCGACCCCCCCTAGCCCCGTCGTGCCCATTCCTGGGCCCCGTCGCGCCCCTCCCAGGCCCCGTCGCGCCCCTCCTGGGCCCCGTAGCGCCCCTCCTGGGCCCCGTCGCGCTCCTCCTAGGCCCCGTAACGCCCCTCCTGGGCCTCGTCGCGCCCCTCCTGGGCTCCGTAGCGCCCCTCCTGGGCCCCGTCGCGCCCCTCCCAGGCCCCATCGCGCCCCTCCTGGGCCCCGTAGCGCCCCTCCTGGGCCCCGTCGCGACCCTCCCAGGCCCCGTAGCGCCCCTCCTGGGTCCCGTCGCACCCCTCCCAGGCCCCGTAGCGCCCCTCCTGGGTCCCGTCGCGCCCCTCCTGGGCCCCGTAGCGCCCCTCCTGGGCCCCGTCGCGCCCTCCTGGGCCCGTAGCGCCCCTCCTGGGCCCCGTCGCGCCCTCCTGGGCCCGTAGCGCCCCTCCTGGGCCCCGTCGCGCCCCTCCGGCCCCGTGCGCCCTCCTGGGCCCGTCGCCCCTCCTGGGCCCCGTCGCGCCCCTCCGGCCCCGTCGCCCCCGGCCCCGTCGCGCCCCGCCGGCCCCTGCAGCGCCGGCCCCGTCGCGCCGCCCGGCCCCGTCGCACCGCCCGGCCCCGTCCCCTGCCGGCCCTCGCAGCCGCCTGGCCCGTCGCCCAGCCCGGCCCCGTCGCGCCCGCCCGGCCCCGTCGCACCGCCCGGCCCCGTCGCCCCGCCCGGCCGTCGCCCCGCCCGGCCCCGTCGCGCCGCCCGGCCCCGTCGCCCCGGCCCGGCCCGTCGCACCGCCCGGCCCCGTCGCGCCCGCCGGCCCGTGCGCCCCCGCCCGGCCCCGTCGCCCGCCCGGCCCCGGTCCGGCCCTGCCCGACCCCGCTGCCCCGGCCCAGTCCTCCTCACTGGTACGGTTCCCCCCCACCCCGCCCTGCACTGCCCTGCACCGTACCGCCACGCACCACACTGTATTGCCTTACACCGCACTGCACCGCATTGTACCGCACTGCACCGCACTGCACCGCACTGTACCGCACTGCACTGCACCGCACTGGACTGTTCCTGATGGCGGCGGAGCTTCGCTTCGACGCTGAAGGTCAGCCCCTGGAGTTCGAGGCGTGGCTTGCCGACCTCCGCCGCCAACTCACTGGCCAGCGGCAGGATGGTGAACCGCTTTCCGCACACCTTGACGGTACGCTCCCCTGCCCAGACCCCCCTGCTATTCTGTCCGCTGACCCCACACCCACTGAGCGTGAGTCTACTGCTGCCACTCCCCGTGCGCGCTCTGTCTGGCTTTCTCGCGATGCTGTCGCCCAGCTTGCCATTAGCAACGCCCTCCCCCCGTCTGAGCGTCCTCGCTTTAGGTCCCTCACTACTGCTCAGACATACTTAGATGTTGTCATCAAGCGCTATTCCACTCCTCCGGCTGCTTCCGTGGGTCGCCTGATCCTCCCGATGCTCTTTCCTGACCTTGCATCTTTCCCCACAGTCTCTGACCTCGCTGCCCACCTGCGCTCGATAGAGGAGACCTGGCGCGCCACCTGCACTGACGCACAGCTTAGAGCCCACCAGCCGCCCATTACCTCTACCCTCTACCCGCTTGCCACCCGCCTCCCTGACCGCCTTGCTGTCGCCCGCGACCGCTTCCTTAGCCTTCACCCCGCCGACCTCACCCTCACTGACTTTGTAGACACCCTGACTGTGATAGAGACCCGTCACCGCTCCATCGCCCAGGCGAGCGGTGTCGTGCCTGTCCCTATCTTTCAGGGCTGTGCCCCCGCCCAGTGTACCTTCTCCGACGGCTCTGTCGCAGTGGCTGAGACTGCTGCTGCAGTGCAGTTTCGTTCGGGGAAGGGCCGCCGCCCCAAGGTTGGGCGCGGCGGAGGCGGAGGCGGGGGTGCGGGAGGGGGTAGTGGTGGGGTCGGGTCGTCTGGTGCTGGAGCGGACGAGGGGACCCTGCCCAGTCCAGCTGAGCCGCCGCCCCTGCAGTTGCAGCAGCCGCAGCAGTCGCCGCAGTCGCAGCCGCCGCAGCCGTCGCAGACGCGGCAGACGAGTGTCCTCCCGCCCGGGTGGCCCGGCGCTGGCGGTGGCCGGGCGCGTGGTGGTGTGTCGAGTGGTAGCTTTGGCGGCGGGCGCTGTCAGTACCAGATCCAGACCGGTCCTCGCCGCGGCTTCGTTTGCGGTAAGATCGGTCACTCCACTCCCCGCTGTTTTCGTCGCCTGGACGACCTGTTTCGTCAGCGCTTTGGCCCGTCGCCAGACCTCCCGGACTGGCACAGTTTGCTTAGTCGTAAGATTCAGATCTTTGATATGGACATGGATGCCATTGTTTCTGCTCTGCATGTGATGTATGCTGATGACTCTAGTATGCTTCCCGCTTATTACTCACTGTTGCCTAGTGTAGGTGTGCCTAGTGTACCCTCCCCTGCTGCGTCAGGCGTAGGATCCTCTGCTTTGTTTAGTCTTGGTGCTTCCGCCGTCGTTCCGTCGCCACACGCCTCTGCTTCGCTTTCCTTCACCTTGGACTCTGGCGCTTCTCGGTGTTTCTTCCGCGACTCCACCACCCTCACGCCGCTTCCTGTCCCTGCTGCCGTTTCTCTCGCTGACCCCTCTGGCGGTCCGATAGTCGCCCGCAGTTCCACCACCCTTCCCTGTCCGGCGGTTCCTTCGGGCTCTCTTACAGGTCTGCATATCCCCTCGTTCTCCAGGAACTTAGTTGGTGTCGGCTGCCTCCAGGACCTTGGTGTCACCACTACGTTCCCTGGTCACGAGCGGTATGCTGTCTGTACCGAGGCCGCCACTGGTGCCCCCCTGTCCACGTTCCCCCGGGACCCGGTGTCCGGCCTGTTCACTCTGGACACCGTGACCCCCCCGGCTGGAGCGCTCCCCCACGTTGCTGCCGCCTGCTCCTATCGGTCCCTCACTCACCCGACCCTCCTTTGGCACCACCGCCTAGGTCACCCTGCGCTCCCGCGTCTGCGTCACATGTCCCAGCACGGTCTTGTCCTTCGTCTCCCAGGTTCTCTCCCTGCGTTTCCCTCCTCCCCAGCCCCACCTTGCACGCCTTGTGTCGAGGGTCGGCTTCGCCGTGCCCCTCACTCCTCCTCGTTCCCCCCTACAGCCGCGCCGTTGCAGACCCTGCACCTGGACGTCTGGGGCCCCGCCCCTGTCCCTGGGCCGCGTCGAGAGCGCTACTTCCTAGTGCTTGTCGACGACTTCACTCGCTACACCACCGTCTTTCCCCTGGAGCGCAAGGCCGACATGCCTGGCGCTCTCATCCCCTGGCTTGTCTCTGCGCGTGTCCACCGCGGTCTCCCTGTCTTGCGTCTTCACTCAGACCGTGGTGGCGAGTTTGCCTCAGGTGTCCTTGGTCGCTTTTGTCGTGCGGAGGGCATCACCCAGACGTTCACCCTACCAGACTCCCCGCAGCAGAATGGGGTCGCTGAGCGACGCATCGGTTTGGTCATGGAGGTGGCTCGCACCTCCATGATCCATGCCGGTGCACCCCATTTTGTGTGGCCGTTCGCTGTGCGCTACGCTTCTCACCAGCTTAACCTGTGGCCGCACCCTCAGCAGCCGCAGGTTTCGCCGACCCGTCTTTGGACTGGGTCTCCTGGTGACGCGTCTGCGTTCCACGTCTGGGGCTGCCTTGCTCACGTCCGTGCCTCCGGCACGGACAAGCTCACTGCCCGCACCCTTCCCTGCGTCTTCCTCGGTTTTCCCCTTGACGCGTCCGACTGGCACTTTTACCACCCGCCGTCTCACCGCTTCTTTCACTCTCGTGACGTCACCTTTGACGAGTTCGTCTCCTACTACCGTCGCTTCCCCCACCGTGGTCCCCCGGTTACTCCCCCCTTGTTCCTGGTCCCTCCTTCCCCGGTAGTCCCTATCCCTCCTCCTCCTCCTCCCCGTCCCGCCCCCTCTGGTGTGTCCCACGTCACCCCCCTTCCATCAGTGGACCCGGTTGAGGAGTCTTCTGACTCTGGTGGACCTCCTGTGCAGTCCTCGCCAGCCGCCCCTCCCCTGGCGTCCCCTCCCCAGTCCCCTCCTCCTTCGCCTCTGCAGCCGCTGCAGCCGTCGTTGTCGCCGCCGCCGCCGCCACCGTCGCAGCACCCGTTCGCTGACTCTGGGGGTGCTCGTCCCGGTAGCCCTGGGGGTGGTCCCTCTGGGGGTGCTGGTGTGGAGAGTGCCGGGGGTAGCCGAGGAGCAGCTTGCGGTCCCGGTGTCGCCGTTGTGCCGCCGCAACAGCAGTCCCCGCCGGTGTCAGCCCTTCGCCTGCTCGGCCTGCCGTCCCCCGACCCTGCGTCGGTTCCTCCCCGACCGTCTCCTCCTCTTCCTGTCTACGGCCCTGTTTTCCCTCCGCCGGACTCGTCCCCGGCCCGTCTCCCCCCTCGTTCCCCTCCTGTGTCCCCTCCTCTGTCTCCTGACCCGACTCCTCCGTCGCACGTCTGGTCTCACCATCCCTCTCGTGCTCGTCCTGCCTCACATGTCCTGCGCTCCCACCCTATGTTGCTTCGTTCCCACGCGTCTCGTCCTCCCCTTCTGCCGTCGCCTCCTCCTTCCTCCCTTGTTGTTGCACCCCCCCTTGCTGTCTGACTACCTTCGTGCCGCTCGTCCTCTTGTTCCTCACGTCCTTGCCTCTCTCGTTACCGACCCGTCTGTTCCGGCCTCGTGCCTTGACGCCCTTGTCGCTGCTGTCGCTGACTTCGCCTCTTCCCGCCGCCTTGA